TAAGCGCCCCGCTGCACAGCCCTGCCGAGTGTTCACCAGGTCAGCCATGAGCAGCTCCCGCCAGCTCCCAGGAGCTGTACATCCCCAGAATGTTAAGACTACTTACCAGCACTGAAATAATTAGCATTTGAGAAAAACAGATGAAATTTTAGCCTCATCTTTCAATAATTGGGTTTTGAGATTTACTTCGCTGGAACCTGGATTGTTTTACAAGACTCCTAGGGTTTTCTCCGTGTTTTTCGTTCTTCAGTATTCACTTTTACAAGATTTCGTCACACCACGTTAAGGATCACCTTCCCCCCCTTTGTAATGCAAACAAGAATTCTCACATCAGTGTTAATCTGCATTGCCAGGAAAACACTGACTGTAATGATACCTGCAGCATCTCTGTAAGAACTGGTAGCAGCATTTTGAATGCCCACAAAAGGATAATTAGCAGCTCAATTTTTTGTGTACTCACAGCTGAGAAACTGACAAACAGAAAATTAAAACTTTATTACTTCTACATTAAGAACCATGCTAAAAACTGTAAATCCTGACAGTCCCAAAATTCTCAACTTGTTAACTATTTTCTCCTCATCTCATATGAAAAGACCAACAGACACCAGACACTAATAGACACTGCTTAGTGTTGAAAAACTGCCATAATCTAGTTTAGTTTGTGGGTGCTAAGGATATTGTGGATGTCAAAGTTAATCTGGCTCCTAGGTCAGAACGAACAAACCCATGGAACAGAAATCCATTACCAGATTACCAGGTACAGAGCCTGCATTCAGCTCAAGAAGTCTCCTGAGCTGGATTCTGGGAGAGTATTAGAGGAAAGCATGTTGCAGATACTTGCAGTTTGCCCACTTTTTTTAATTTCTCCTGGAGCATTTGCCTGGAGATCTGCTAGAGGAAGGATACTGGACTAGAAAGTCTTTTACACTGCACTGCGATGATTTGGTTTAGGTCTTTTTATTACTTTTTACAGAAAAATATACATTTTGTGTATATTGTAGACAGTAATAAATATTAATATTGCTACTTCTGTTCTTTCTTACCAATTATTATTATTTTTGAATCCTGAATATACATTTTTAAAAGAAGATAGGGGGAATTCTTAGAAAATAATATTACATGTCACAATTCAGATGGAAAAAAAAGTATTTTTCATAAATAGAAAGCCTTTCATGGAGTCTTAAGCCAGTATTTTATTTTTTTTCACATTTGGACGGATTAGAAGCTTGTCTCCAATCAGTGACTCACATAATGAGGAGTATCTCACCAAGCTGAAGTAACTCAACTGCTCTCAGTGACGTACATTAAGTTGTTATTTTTGCTCTAAATAAAGGTGGCATGTCACAAAATAAATGGGTAATAGTACAGAAAACATGGCTTAAAATACTCTAGGTATCCTTCCAACTAGAATTTTAAAAAGAAAAAAGATTATCTGAATGTATTCTTCATCAGTCTAAGAAAACCCTACACAGAGGTCTTTGCATTGCACTTTTACAGACACAGCTTATGTATATCCGCAACAGGATCTAAAATGAACTCTTCCTTCCATTATTATAACTCTCTATTACAAATTACATATACTCATTTCTGACTTTTCTCAACCCTGTTCAGATACTGCAAGAGGCCGTAATTGCCAGCTGGCTTTATACTGATGCAGAGAGATGGTTACAAAAGAGGCTTCTGATGTAACACCTTCAATGCACATGGAAAAGTTTTCAATTATTTTCACAAAGACAGATTCATTCCATCTGGACTCTGTAAGTTTGGTATCTACAGCAAAGCAGTAACCACTGCTGTTACCATCCCCAGAAATCAACACAAGAAGAGAATATGCAGTGTGCCAAGAAATACAGAGCAGGTTACAAAGCAGAAACATCAGTAGATTACTGTGCCTCCTTGGCTTATGTTGCAAAGTATTTTATTTCTATGGAGGTAGCACTGTCGCTGTATCTTAGAGAAAACTCATTGTCACTGAGGTTTCTCCTCCATGCCTCTCCAGCTCTCTAATGGCAAATTTATTCCCATGCCTTCAAGGTATCTAGTGGAGTAAAGTCTGGGAAGAATATTTACATCAGCACCTGCTCTGCATCTGTACCTTGTCTTGACTTAGTTTGGCTCTAAATTTGCACAAAGGTCTTCAAGCAAACTCTGGAAGACCACTTTCACTTAAAATACTTGTAAGCAATCCAAAATCTTTATTTAGTAGTAACAGTTTTGAAGTTCTGACCAGTTAAACAGGAGTTGCTGAAGCCCTCTTGAGTAATGACTGTAAACCAGACTTCCACAGATGGTATTTGGCAGTGACCTGCTTCTAATGTAAGCTGAGTATCTCAGTTGCCATTATAGTCACTTGCCATCTTAAGGCTTGATTCAGTTGCCTCAAAGTAAGAGTTCAGTATCATTTGGAATACCTCAAAACACTTCATCTGACCTCTCGAGAACACACAAGTCTCACGTCATCTCCACTAGCTCCAGCTAATTGTTTCAGATACTCTGTGGTATCTCAAATAGCTTTAAATGCCTATTTTAGGCGACTAGAAACCTCTCCTAATCGGCCCAGCCAAATGAGCCCCAAGAGCTGTTCAGCTTCAGGGTAAGCTGCACAGGTTCCCAGGCTCCACTGCCCACTAGTACTGACGACACCTCCACCGACGACAGCGGGAACTTCAGACCCTTACTCACACAGACACTGAATCCAGATGTCTACAAGGCACAGATGAATCCTACCACCTACTTTTAGATAGCCAACCCTTGTCTACAAGCTAACACTCTGCCTGTCCTACTTGAGCTGTTTCTATACAGAGGCTGGATTTTAAAAATGAAGAGTCATTTGTTATTTGTTTTAACAAAATGGGCCAGCTTTAGAGCACACTACAGGGTAAGAATATGGGCAGATGCATCGACCACTCCAGCAGAGATGAGAATGACAGTTTAGAGATCACCAGCAGCTTTCTGTTAACTGCTGCAGTGAATACTTTTCCTTGGTAATATCTCATTCCACAGCAGAAAAGCACTTAAGCACATCCTAAGCACCAAGCATAAATTTAACACCCACTGACTTTAATGAGAACTAAGTAATGCGCTTAATTGCTTTGTTGAACTATAGCCAACAGGATTTTGGGGAAGATACCGGCAAAGGAGAAACGCAGTTACTCTAGAAAAACTGGGGTTTTTTTCCAATGTCTATAGTTGTGTATTTTGCTACAAATCAAAGAAGAGCTAATATTTTGGATGTGATCTGTCTTTTGGTACAGACATATTTTAAAACAAATCTGAATTTTAAAAATGTGCATCAGAACTCTTTCAGAGGTATTACAAAGGTATTGTGTACACTTACTAGCAATCTCTTCAGCAATCCAAAAACCTTAAATGTGAGGTCTCTTTTACGGAGTGGGACTGTATCTTTCTACTCATCTAGGAACTCCTGTACTTAAAGCTGATAACAGCAAACCTTCTTTTAAATAAATGGCTCTTCAAGGCCATCATCATCATGATAAAGTGCAATTCATATTTCAGTCATTCTGTCATAAGCAAGTCATTGCCTCTGAAACTGCAGATGATTTCAGTGATAATTCTACATTTAAACCTTTATAACCACATTGTCACATCCCTGCCAGTAAATGCATTTTGTGAGCTGCCAATCACTGTTATCCTCTACAAAAAGTACATGGAAAAAAAAAGGAAATGAAGAGGCTCATTTCTAGATGTGTTTTCCCTGTTTCTGAGGTATCACCATAAACGGAGACGAAAGGACACAACTCTTGGAAATCTCCCTCAGGAGACCACGGGGCCATATAACTAAGTCAAGCAAGCCATACTGCACAGGGCAAAAGCAGCTCCACCTTCACCAGTGCAGGTACACCACATGACAAGAAGTATCATGAAAGCAAAGCAGAAAGAAAAAAAGGAGCCTTTCAAACAAGACAGGGATCAACCACATCCACGCTAGATGCTAGGGGGTCTGCAATCCAACACTGTCATAATGCAGCCAGTCCTATTTTTCAGGATTTTGAGTGCTCTACTCTGGGTACACATCTGAACAGCAAGAGACAGTCTGACAAGGTCCATATGGTGGAGGTGGTTGACTATAACAAGCCAAAAGCAGAGCACCTTTTCCAAGCTGTACAGGTGCTGTGGATCATCAGACACTTTCTTGTAGGCCCAGCAGGGTGTGCCCAGAGCCAAATGGCTGGTACTATGCAAAATGTAGGTGCAAGCTCACTGGCACATTTTAAGTTGCCACTTTAAAACTATCAAAACAAAGAAAGGTGAATGTAAAGTTCCACCATGCAGAGAGAGACTCTGAATTTCCAGTACAGAAATGCTGATGTTCCTTATACCCTACAAAAGCCCACTGTCACAGGAAACTGGTAATTTGCAGAGGCCACTTTAAAAAAAGAAAGAACCACAACTTCCTGACGCTTTTCACTGCATGGCACTGGGAGAATCCCCTTCTCTCCAAATCTCACAGACTCTGTGGGAAGCACAGGCCCTGCTATCCGCATGGAGACTTGAGAAAGAGGTTTGTTCTTAGTGAGCTGCTGTAATTCTCCTTGATGTGAAAATAGGCTTTATTCCTGAGGTAATACAGACTGTGGTTCCCAAACTGCAAGCCACAACAGCCTTCCCGTTGCTGCTGTTTCTGCACTTTGGCTCTACATTGGGTGTGCTGGGTCAACAACACCACAATACAACAGTCCCACAATGCAGAGCTAGAGGAGTGCTGCAGGAGCAATCTGTCCTCTTGACTGTGATGAATGGAATATATTACCTGATATAGCCATTTTCAATCCTTTCAATATCTTCATCAGTAGTTCTGACAGACAGTCTGTGCATACCAGGGTAGGAGTGCTGGGTGTTGATTTTTGCCATTTTGCTTTACATATCAACATCTAAATGACCGCTGAAACAGGGGAAAAAAAGAAACAAAACATTTTCTGAAGGCTGCAAAAGAAACATGCTCAGTACTTAAAAAGAGCAATTTATAAAACAAAGGAACAACAAAATACAGATTCAATCTTTTGAAGATTAGCCAGTCATGTTTACACACATGTAATAGTCATTTCTTGATTTATTGGCACTAGACAGAAAAAGGTGTTAGCAAAAGTGTTACAAAGAAAATTCATCATAACCAAACAAATGGGTTACATAGCACGCATTTAAAATCTCGTTAAAGGAAGGTTAGTGAGCAAGCCAATCAAAAAAAGCTGGGACAACCCATTCCACATTGAGTTGATCCCTTTGTGCTAATCTTATGTATTTTATGATTACGTTTTTTATTCTGAAAATACATATTAACAAAGCAGATAAACAATAAAGTGTATCCCACAGCTTATTTTATGCCATGCATTAATTCTGTATTACCTAAACTCTGCACTAAACATATACTATTTTTTTCCCATTTATTTCCGTATATCATTTGCTACACTGCTTTAAGACAAGCTCTGTTAAGATATTTAGCAGCCCACCTCCTACAAGATTTAGGAAACTGACCTAAATTCCTTTCCAGATTCAGCCTTCAATGCCTCATCAAATTCACATCACATCTATCACCTGCAAAATAAGTTTTAAGACTCAAGATAAGTGTCTTAAAACTGAGGGATGGGAAGACTGCCAGTGAAAGCTTTGAAGTTTGCAAAGGTTTGGTTTGTTTGGGCTTTTTTTAAGTTTGGAAACTCCATTCAGGAACTTCCTTTGTTTGAGATATAACTAGAATTAAATTCTCTTGGAATCACTCAACCACTTCAGACCATCTACTGTCCCTTTTTCACCAGTAATCCTCTGTCTTGTTGACCATATAGCATTCAGTTTTAGCAGCAAATTAAATACAGATCTTACAAAAACTAACATTCTGCTCAGAATTATTCCTGAAGCAAAGCTCACAATCCATTTTTAAGTTTATATTATGTATCCAGTTTCTTAAAAAACAGATATCTGACTTACCCTCCGCTCAATTCCCAGACAACTAAAGGGAATCATATATCATTTTTAAGTTATTTAATATATTTCAAAATATAAAAGAGATTCACTTAAGTTTTTAACCTAGAAATAATGAAATGAGTCTATAAATAGCCCTTGGGCATCATTTCAATCAGAATTTCCCAGTACTAATTTTCTCTCAGTGCAGGTGAACTGATTTATAACTGTGTTTTGCCTTAAACTGACACTTGTACATACCAGTTAACTTTTAATAGTGAACAATGGGCATTTCTATTACACATTGATATGAGAAAAAAAAACAACATCCTTCAACCCTCCCTCTCTCAGATTTGAATGTTCACTCAAAAGAACTTAATTCCTAAAATGCAGATAATTTACGCTAAAAACAACTACATATAAAAATGTCAACTGGAGCAGTCTCACAAAATGAACAGATTTTGTCTGTTCAAGAAACACATGACAAATTATTTATGAATATGTTAATGTATATTCATTACGAATGTCAATGAATATTTCTTTTAAAATTATTTAGCCCTTGAGAGATAAATATTGTTATTAATAAACTAACCAGTCAAATTGGTTTCAAAATAGGTATGATGCCAAAAATCTACTCTCTAGGAAAATTTTTCATGAATCATAGAATCACCATGGTCGGAAAGGACCTCCAGGATCATCAAGTCCAACCTTCCTCCCAACATTTCCCTAACCACTAGATCATAGCCTCAAGTGCCACATCCACTTTTTTGAGGGATGATGACTCCACCACCTCCCTGGGCAGCCTGTTCCAGTGTCTAACCACTCTTTCAGTGAAGAAAGTCTTCCTAATATCTAATCAAAATCTTCCCTGGTGCAACTTGAGACCATTTCCTCTCATCTTATCATCAGTAATTTGGGAGAAGAGACCAAAACCAGCCTCACTACACTCACTACAACCTCCTTTCAGGTAGCTGTAGCTGTCTCCTCTCAGCCTTCTCTTCTCCAGACTAAAAACCCCAGTTCCCTCAGCTGGTCCCCATAAGACATGTTTTCCAGCCCTCTCACCAGCCTCGCTGCCCTTCTCTGGACCCGCTCCAGCACCTCAGCATCCTTCTTAACCTGTATCATTTTCTAGTTATGATTACTGCTTCTACCACATAGTTTTTAACACAGAATTAGATGACAGACAGTAGTGCTTTAGTGATTATAACATTTATTTTGTTGTAACAGCAAGTATTAAGGTAAGTCACATTTCTCATCTGTTAATTTGAACATAATTGAAGGTAAGAAGAAAATGTGGTTTTCCTTCTCTCGTTACTCATTTTTTCCAACGTCAGCTTACCAAAATCTGCTAAGGTTTGTTAGCCTACAATTCACAACCTGTCTTACTGCCCAGGATATAACAAATGGTTATGCACATACAGAAAGAAAGGCTCAGTAGCAAATTTCTTCTTCCTACTGATAGTTGCTCATGCTGCCTATTTTATTTCCACTGCTTTGAGCTATGCTAAGTCTCACAAAAGTTAACTTTTAAGAGTAAAGTGGCATGAACTGCTTGGACTTTACTGCTCTGTATAGGCCCTGCTCTCCTTTAAAGCTCACCCAAATAATTTTATTGGTTTTTTTAAAAAAAAATCATAATAGAACTTTCTATCACATTGCAGGAGGGAGGGAGGAGTTGTCACTCTTCCACTGAACAGTGCCACCTATATCCCATGTAACCCCATTAAACTTCCACTTTATTCTAGTTCAAGGTTTTAAAAGCTTTATGGTGGGAAAAGAGGAATGATTCATAGAACAAGCAGCAAAGCATTAACAGAATAAGTAGCAAAGCATGTATTTTCCAGCACAGTTAGTTCTGGGCTAAGACGACCTTGGCTAGTTCTGCCACCCTGCACAACCATAACCCTGTCACTAGTTCTGGTGATTCACAATCAGACTGATGTCTGTGCATAGCAGTTCTTAAACAAGGGTCATCTGATTTATAATCTCCACCAAAATAAACAACTGTTAAAACAGTGAAAGTCTGAGATAATAAAAACCTCTTGAAGTGTCGGGATGGTGTAGACAATTCACTACCAACACATATTCTCTCGCTGAAAAGACACACTGCTGCTGTAGTGGAGAGCAGTGAACAACGCCCTTCTGTACCTCAGACACTGCAGGTCTGACCGAGGGGTTGCCAGACCTGTCATTTCTGCATTGATTCCTAAACGTTTAGTTAAAAACCATTAAGAACACTATTTCTTTAAACTTTAAACTGAAGTGGCTTCTCCAGATGTTTGCAATCTCCGGAAATTAGAAATTACTCATCTGGAATTAGAGACTACTAATAGATGCTGGAGTTGGATATTCCAAATTTCCTGGAATGGTTTGAGTACACTGAATACAGGAAACAGTTGTACACCTTATTTAGTCTTCCAAAAGCTATGTGACTAAAGAAACAAAACAAGTCATGGGATGTGACATCAAACATGGCCACCTTCACCACGGCAAAAGTTTAAGGACAGTATTTCTCAAAGTTGCACAGGAAAATCGTCTCACTAATGATGCTGATGAAAAGAAGGAGCTGTGAGACAAGAAGATCTCAGGATGGCAAAAAGTGCCATGGGCAGGAGAAATGAGGAATGCAAGGAACTTCAGGGTGACCCACGTCAAGTAGATCAATTTCTTAACTTGATGGCAAGTGACTTGCAATGCAGGCAAATAGAAATCAATGAATGCAGGTGACAAGCACAGAAACTGCTGCTTTATATGCTTCCAAATTAACCATACGTTCTCAGGAATGGAAACCTGAAAAGTGCATACACCCAGCTCAGTGAAAGGCCCAGCTCAGTGAAAGGCCCTGCTCAGTGAAAGGTCCAGCTCAGTGAAAGGCCCTGCTCAGTGCAGGGCAGGCCTGCTGACACAACAGCTAAGGATGTATACACGAAGGTGTTAAGGACACAATGAACACTGGAACTGCTACAAGGAACAGGCGTGGACTTACAGTCCAGAATACTCTTAGTCCTTCTTTTGAACAGAAAGATACTGCAGAACAAAAGCATGGCAAGAATGATTAAGGACATAGAAAAGGGAGAGACAGAAAAGTGGGGCTTCTTCACTCTAGAAAGGCAAAGAATAAGAAGCTAGAAAGTAAAAATATGTAGGCAAAATTTGAGCTCATTTTAGAGCCCTTACAATGATTTCTGCTGTAAAATCCCAATTCAATATATAGTGTGGTCTGAACTCTGATTCTGCATTAGACCAAAGGAAAGGAGGAAGGGAAAATATCACAGAAATATAACCCTACTATTAAGCAATAAAATTGTTTAATATTAAATTAAAATTGCTTCCTATTTTTTTGGAAGGAGGAAGGGAGAGTAGAGAAAGGTTCATTATTAAATTGTGCCACACAGGCCCTGCTGTGGCAGAGAAAGAGAGATAGTACACAGGACTGGTTGCAAGAGAAAAAGCAGTAATTTGGGTACAGCACAGGTGGTGAGACCTCCTAAAGCAACACCGTTTGGCCCTGCATGAAGCACATAAAATTCTGGCACATTGCTGGCTATCTGAGAAAGGAGAAATATTTGTTCCAAAACTCCTAACAATAAACATGTTTAATGATCTATGGAGGAGATCAGAATTTCAAAACTGGATCCAAAGGTGACTAACTAGGCAGCAGCTTAAACCAAGCAGGGCAGTACCAGGAGCCAGCCAGCAGGAAAACGATGTCAAGGCAAAAGACTCTGCACACATCTTTTGCAGGGCTGCAGAAAGACAGCTCCAGAAAGCTGGGATCTCATGAAACCACCACTGAAAGCTGGTGCTTACAAGGCAGTTTAAAGAACTGAGTCGAGGTCAGCTTCATATTTAAAAACATAGTTATTAGGGTCGTGTGGTGGGTTGGCCTTGGCTGGCTGTCAGACACCCACCCAGCTGCTCTCTCACTCCACCTCCTCAGAAATCTAGTCAGAGAAAGTAAGATGAGAAAGCTCATGGGTCAAG